AACTCAGGAAGACCTTCGAAAAGAATTTTATAGATTACCTCGAGTATCGCTTGCAGACTGAAGAACTAACCGAGTAATAAACCAACACTAAATTTCCTAAATCAGAAACGCAGTCAAGTACAAACTCTACTTCTTATCAAATCTACACAGGATTTCATAAGCAATGCCATCGATTAAGAACAGGGCTCGGGTCTCGGTTTGAGCGAGCTGTACGGCGGCGGTTTTGGAGCCGCTGGTTCGGACTTGAACCGAGGTGGTTCGTCGGCGCGTGAACCGGGGCTGAGGCTGCTGGAACCGGGCTGAGGAGCTGCCGGCCGTACGGACGCGGCCAAGGGAGGTGCGCGAAGGGCTCGACAGCGGCGGACTGAGGCTGGGATCTCGATTTTCCGGCGATGCTGAGCTCTTGAGGCGCGCCGGCGGTTGGGCTCGCGATTTTCCAGAGTGGCTGAGCTCGGGAGGCGCGGCACAGGGCTGGGTTCGCGATTTTCTGGCGTGGCTAAACTAGGGAGGCGCGGCACAGGGCTGGGCTCGCGTTGTTCCGGCGTGGCTAAGATAGGTCGCTGGCGATGACTGTGATTTTCTCGCCGAGATCTGAAATTTGAACAGGGGCTCGCCGGTTCGACGTTGGTGCTGCTGACATGAAGGGCTTTGGCGGGTTCGGCCGGAAATTTGTCGGATTCCGAGCTGGCCGGACTTTTGGTGAAGATGGTGCTGAGCTTGGAGCTTGAAGGTGAAAATGGAGGATTTTTGTGTTAGGGCGTGAGGATTGAGTGTATGTCACTCAAAACTCAAATTTACTCGACGTCACTATCTCCAACTTCATTATCCTCCTTATATATAATTCACTATATATATAATAATGTTTAAATGCGCTTAGCCTATCTTCTGGTGCTTCGTAATCTTACTTGGCAAACAATCATGGTTCGTAATTAGGTTTGAACAAATAATATTGATATATTAATAATTAATAATCTAGTTGAGACATTCCATAAATATTATTTATCTAACTTAGGTATTTTACTATCACTTGTACTATTATAACCCTATAATTATTTGTAATTTTAAATAGTGGGACACTAAGTGACTAATATATCCTGACTTTGATTTGTATCCTTCAATTAGCTATTTAATTGTAAATGTATTTTAAAAGTTGATAACTTTTGTATTTCTTATCGGTTTACATCTATTATATATCAAATTAATCATCTTTTGGTGATCTTCGATTTGACATTCATATTGTATATATGATATAATAAATTATATTTATCTTTATACTAATAAAGAATAATAATATTTATTAAAATTCATTAGAAAAATAAAATTATTTACCAATTGATACATTTATTTTTAATGTAGTTATATGTTGTAAATTAAAAATTATTATAATATGACACATGTAAGTCGAACAAATAAAAAGTGTCATACTAAATATAATATATATATATATATATATATATATATATTTGTAAAAGGTATTTAAAATTCAACTACTTTTTCTCATTAATTTTAGATTTTTTTAATAAAAAAAATAGCAAGCACCCGTGTAATACACGGGTGTTGTACTAGTCTCCAATATTATCAATACAACTTCACTATCTCCAATATTATCAATCTATTAATATATAATAAGGATTAACATAATTCACTTTTAGAAACATTTTCCCGCCAATTTCATTAATTATTGCCTAAAAATAGTAAATTAACAAAATTTCTATTTAATAGCATATTTTTTTATCCGTTCTTTTTAGGAATATAATAAAAAATATGGAATCAAAATCCAAATAAATCTAAGAAATACACTTACCATACTTAATGCACTTAATTTAAGAAATACACTTACCATACGTATTATTAAAAATTTTTAAAAAACAATATAAAACATTTAATTATAATTGTCAATTAAAATTTTTTTTTAAGAATCAATCATATTTCTAATAATTGTTAGAAATAATTTATATATATATATATATATATATATATATATATATATAT